AAGCTGCTAGGGGGACCAAACTAACACCACTTATTCCTGACAGGAAAAGCTATCTGTTACCAAAACATCAAGACCATAGCATGTTCAAGACAAAAGATACAAAAACCGGAAGTTCTGCTGCAGTACCAAGGTCATCCACCAGGAGGCCCATATTTGACCTTGACCTTTGTCTTCCTAAGACTTACCAACATACCAAATATCATTACAATCCATAAAGGCCTTCTGAAGTTATGATGACCACAAAGTTGCGGAAACACAGACAGACAGACACACAGACAGACACACACACACACAGACACACAGACAGACACGCCAAAAACAATACCTCCATTTTTCATGGAGGTAACAAGGTGCATTTCTCTGTCCTTGGTGCTGACTGTGTTTCCCTGTCCCTGGTGCTGACTGTGTTTCTCTGTCCTTGGTGCTGAATGTGTTTCCCTGTCCCTGGTGCTGACTGTGTTTCCCTGTCCCTGGTGCTGACTGTGTTTCCCTGTCCTTGGTGCTGACTGTTTACCTGTCCCTGGTGCTGACTGTGTTTCCCTGTCCCTGGTGCTGACTGTGTTTTCCTGTCCCTGGTGCTGAATATCCAATCTTGAATGCGGAAGAGCTGTGTCGCTTTTGGAATATGGGATATGTACATAATACTTTACTTATGCACACATAATATACATACACACGCGCACACACAACACCCTAGCGAGCTTCTCGCAAACAACTCTCTCAAATGGCTTCTAAACCTTCTTTGAACACAGATTCTTCTAGAAACTATTTCCCCATGATCATATGATCTTCATTTTAAAAAGCTTTGACATTTTGAGTTGAGTAAAAGCTGGGTGATTTGAACCCCCAAGAAATAACAGGCGATATTCGAGCCTTTCTAGGAGAGGATTTTTCGACCAGCCGTTGTTAATAGCATGTCAAAACCTCAGACGTCGACGGTTAATTTGTTAGGCCATACCGACATAATTTTATGGATGACATCCTCGGAAGACCCCAAAACTAGTGCGCGCGGGCGAAAAAAATCCAACCAAAAGTAAAAATGCTACTAAACCACAGGAATACGAATACAAAGCTGGTGTTGTGAATTTGCAGCAGTACATAGCGACGTATACGACAAGCCGGCACATGCTGGCTTTTTGCGGCATTTATGAATCGGCATTGTAGGTGAAAATCAATGCGCGCGCGGATGTCATCCATAAAATTAAGGCGGTGTGGCCTTACCTAAATGGCGGCGGTGTTACCCATTAAAATTGCGCTTACATTCGTCGTCGGTCGTGATCGTAAGGTTCTGACGACGTCGAATGTTCCAGAATTAGAAGGTTGCGACAGAACCAACCACGGACTTAAAGACGCATTATGTAACATTGGGACAATACAGAAGTAATTTTTTTGTCATTTCTTTACGAAATTTGTTGAATCAACCGTACTACAATTCAAATTTGTGTCATTCAGAAAGTGGAGATGTCAAAAAGATGCTTTACGCGTGTGTTTCACAGCTCGAAATACAGCTATTATCACGTGTGTTTACATTCTGGTAGTTTGTGGTGGTGCCACAAAGTACCGTACAATTATCGTACAATATACCGTCAAGTGCAAAATGTATTTCATCTTTACGCTATCACAGTTTCAAACCTTACAGAGTCTATATATCTTACATTATGTAACTGGGCGTGTGGCAACCAAACCGGAAAACTGATTATGTTTTCTGCGTCATGGTGGAATGGATTAAATACAAAGCCACTGCAGCTACATATGTGAATAATGCCTTATCTCAAACCAACGCTATAATTTAGATAGGCTGTGGCTAATGGTATTAAGTACAAGTATAACGTGCGTAGTGCAGTGGTTAAGTAGCCTGTCTCATACGATATAGGTAATTCTACCACTGGCCTATGGACTGGTCTTGATGGGCAAGACAGACGATAAAGTATAGTCATGTTCATTGTACAGCGGTCTTTCCTCTTAGCTCTTTTACGTTTTAGTACAATGAACAAAGTGCAATGAACAGTAGATCGTGGCCTTACCTACCATTGCTGTTCTTTGCAGTATCGGTAGGGGTCTCTGTATAGGCTCAATTTTCCACTAACCTTTACTTTCCTCTAGGAATGAACTTTAACACAGCAGGTCTTTCTTGATCTTCTACATGTAACATGATCTATATAAGTGGCTCTCAGGCTTATACAAATTTAATTCTAAAACCATGGTTTTTCGGGCAAATCAATCCCAACAAGTTAAAGAAATATCTATATATAACAACTTTGATGTGACTACTAAACACAAGCTTAAAATGTAAGAAAGCATAGCAAACGTTAACAACATGTATACTGTGTTCATGTACATTGTACCAGCTAGAACGACGATAGAAGTCCTTCTACAGATTCTATGTAGTCTTCTACAAGAATATTCTATAGTCCCCAAGACGAAGATTCTATGTAGTCCCATATAAGAAAATTCTATGTAGTCCCATATAAGAAGATTCTATGTAGTCCCATAGAAGAAAATTCTATGTAGTCCCATAGAAGAAGATTCTATGTAGTCCCCCAGAGGAAGATTCTATGTAGTCCTATAGAAGAAGATTCTATGTAGCCACCTACAAGAAGATTCTATGTAGTCCTATAGAAGAAGATTCTATGTAGTCCCCCGTGGAAGATTCTATGTAGTCCCATAGAAGAAAATTCTATGTAGTCTCATTTTCTAGCAGTCACATATACCTGCAATCAACTTAGTTCAGAGCGCAGAAGTGGTCCAAGTTATGTCTTGCATTGAGGAAACGTATTAAAAATGACAAATCAAAGAAAACCTTCGCTCAACGATAACAACAATCTACGGCTTGTACTATTGTGTTTTTTTCCTAAGTGTGACATAGTCCTACCGGACAGTTTTATTGTTGAAGACACTGTACTGCAGTACTTTGAAAAAATGCATTAGAGCTTAGAGGTTAACAAAAAAATGATAGGGTGAAAAGGCAACGTACTCTAGATCAACATGCTGTGCTCATCCAAGGAAAAGTAGGGCACGGGGTATTAACCACAAATCCCCTTGTATCGGTGGACCGCGTGAGGTTTAGCGGGGAACAGAGCGCTTGGATGCCGAAGATTAACCTCTCAGAGCCCGCTACCTGTCAATTACGCCTCCCCACCAGCTCTACGTGCGTAACCCCACTCACGCCAGGATCACGCCGCTATCTCCCACCATATCCTCGTCCTTTTACAGGAATTAGCCAAATTCCGGGAAAATAAAGGCCGACTGGGTGGCGGGAGTGGTGGTATCCTCCGCGGTGTAAATTTTTAATACCGGAATCTTTGCGCTCCCAGCTGACCTAACAGAATAAGGATGTCAGTCATTTATTATTGATGGTAGAATTAGTTCCGAATCTTGCGGGGTAAATCCGTTTGGCTCCTTCACGCCCCACGATATCAAAGAGACGACAGAAGGCGGCATTACCCCTCCACAATGTGGAACAATATGGTACCAATCCAAACAGTTTCTGTCTCTTCCAAGCTTAGGCGTCTCTCTTGAGCGAATTGTGCGCTTCTAAATAGGGTGTTTACCTGTTTTTTTTCCTGCGGTTTGGATGCAGCGTTTTGTAGTTGTCTATTTTTCCCGGTTCTAAATATGCATTTTTATAGGTCTTTTATTTATGGCAATTTAAAAGAAAATACGATTTTTTCTACGGTTGGGCTGACCATGGAGTTATCTTAACTCCAAGGGCTGACGTTTTAAAGTTGTCTATTTTTTTTCCCTGTGGTAAATATGCATTTTAATGTATTTTATCTATGGAAATTTAAAAGAGAAGACGATTTTTTCTACGGTTTGGATGCAGCGGTCTTCGTTGCTAACATTTTGTAGTTGTCTATTTTTTCTCGGTAACAAATATGCAATTTACATGTCTTTTATCTGTGGAAATTTAAAAGAAGGGAAGACGATCTACTCTTAATTTGAAGACAGCGAAACAATGTTTACTAGTACTTCACAGATGCCTTCTGTTTGTTAGCTACATGATTTCGCAAAGAGACACAAACTTCTGTGAGAAAAAAAATAACCAAAAGGGACGAAATGGAAAAAAAAATGAGAGCTTTTCATCAGATATTGGTCATATGGTGCTATTGTTATTTAAACTAGCCATATCCAGGACTAAGGAAAAATCCTTGCTACCTGCGCAAAACGGTACGATAACCAAAATCAGAAACCTATCTTTTTGCTAAAAGCAAAGGGGAAAAATCGTAACTAATGTTAGATACTAGTAAGAAAAACCTTGACCGTATCAAAAGGAGAACAGTGGCAAAATTAGAGCTACGTGGAAATGCATGAAATGAATACAGTTAATACCATTATGAGATGAAATCGGTCTATCCCTATTTACCATGTGAAAGCCATGTTCGTTAGCACCTCATTTTAAAGCAGCTCAAAAAAGCCCACTTTCCCTACCTAACCGGGGCATTGCTTTTTGTATGTAAATCACTTTTACTGAGCTAATATTCGGTTGTTATATTGTCTGCGCGATGGTTTAAACCCGGACGCGTCCGATGAACGGTAAGAAATTGTTAGTATCGTGTCCATTTAGGTTCCGTCCCTCGTGGATCGTTTACCGGGACGCTAATTACAAGCGCTCGGCGCGGGAATGCGCCAGGCGGGGAGTCAATTTGCGGGCAGGCGCGGTGACCGATGGTCGGGGCGTGATGAGAGAGGTTAATAGCCAGTCATCAGCGCACTCTGACCTCAGCCAATCAGTGACCACTTCAGAACCTGTAGTACACCTTTTTTATGGAAGAATCCATTTTCTACTTAGTTGTCTAACTCAAACAATTTTTTCCTAAACTTTGTAATATCAATAATTATTTAATATACATATTTGCAAATACTAGTTTTGTAGTTTAACTGTTATGGAACGATGTAATTGGTAATGAATACTTTTTGAAAGTGTAAAAAAAGGAAAATTATACCCCTTTAATGGTGTGAAATTGGTATCTTCCAATTGACGTCCCGGTGTCCCAAGACAGGGGTCTCCCAAATAGGTCAGGAGAGTAAGACCAGGGTCCTAATGCCACAACATGGTGAACCACTGACCTGACCCCCACGCCAAATCACCGGGTGCTCCACGACAGGTAGTCGGTTCCGGGTCGCAGGTCCGCCCGAAGAGACAGGTGCGCGTCCATCGGTGTCGCCAACGGGAACGACTATTCTCTAGCAAGTGATTTCCTACATAGCATAAGGTAAGAAAATATACATTACTTTCCTCTTGTTAATTTTTTTAGGTTTGTGGTCTTTTTTGAAAGGTTGAAACACAAAAGATCTAGATAGTTTCGGTCGGTAACATAGAATGCCGGGGTACGTAAAAGTACCAATAAAAACTAACGTCCCAATTAATGAGAGTGTTGCCTATTTTGATTATCCGGAAACGTTTTCAGAGCGATACGCTGGAAATACTAAACGCTACGGCACAGACAACACAGAAATAGAGAGAGCCTCCGTCGCTAAATCGCCAGGCCACCAACAAATTTTATTGACTGCGACTGCAAGCAATCCACGGAGGTAATTTCGCCCCATTGCCCCCGTACATTCAAAACCACCGATCACTGACCGAATTGACCTCGGGGGCTTGAACCTTGCGACCCCGCTAAATAGCCAACAACTGTTCGGTGCCGCTTTTAAACTTGTTACCGCGTTAGCACCACCCGCTGAAATTAATCATCGCGAGCGGGGCGACTGCGTTGCGTTTTTGGGTGACTTACCGTTTTCAGAAAAGCAAGAAAAAGAGCAAATGCAGCCGACAAGGCGATCGCAAAGTCGCAGGTGAATAATAGGGCCTTTTTCAAAAGGTCAGAAAAAATAAATTAGGCCGGATTTGATCGTAATGTCCCGAGTATGGGGTTAAATTAGGCGTGAGAGGGTTATATCAGGCGAGGGTCCAAAATGTATCTTAGTTCCCCCGGTCTTCTGTACGGGGGACAAATGCAGCCGGAAAATGAAAACGTACGCACTTTGCTTTGGTAACGACTATGCAGATGACAAGTCTGGTACGTTTTCAATTATTAGAATGAAGCGGTCAGTCGCTCATTTCTGTGAGGGGGCACGCGCGGAAAATAAAGTTAGTCCCAGAGGTAAACCTCCGAATGCCCGTTTGTGGACACTTTCTCTCTTTAATAGACCCACAACGATGTTGCTAAAGTAAACATTGCGTGGCCGGGCGGGCCCAATCGCTCGGGCCGGATCATGTTTTTTCATCATATTCCACGGACCATCTCTCTGTGGAACAGAACGAAGGATTAGCTGGACGCTTCATCAGTTTATTTCTTCACGCTTGGATGCGTTGTCGTTTTCTGTGGCCGTTTTTCGATCGGGGTTAAAGTCTCTCTGCGGTCGTTTTTGCGTTGCGCTTCCATCATTTTCGATTTGGTCGGGTCGGATGTTGTCTCTTTATTTCACAGTTCGTGCTTTGTATATCGAGTCGCACATCGCTCTCTATCAATCTTAGGAGATTTTCTCCCCTCATCAACATAAAACCATATACATAATATAATTACGTCATTTCCTTATTTGCTACCTTTTCTATTAATTTCCAAAGCTTGGCTAGTGTGTTGGAGAGTTTTTTTTTTTTACCTTTCACGTCATAACTGTTTTTGTAGTCTTCATAGTCTTCAAGATTAGTCTCTTTCTATTGACAATTACACTTCCACTTAAAAACGGCAATGGATCCCAAAGCCTTTACCTCGCCTGAACGCCAGCCGAAAATGTATCCTCGTTATGTATCCGTTTTGTAGAATCTGATAAATAATCTATCAAAATTCCAACAAGGACATTATACACACACATGTGTATAATGTCCTTGATTCCAACGATGTTGTGTGTCAGAGTTAACTTACCTCTAAAGGAAAGAAAAAAAAAGGATTCAAATCAACCCTAAAACACGGACTCTAAACAGGGCGTGGGGTGTTTTTCTCCGTGCGTTGTTGTCTTGTTCCCCCACCTCTGTGTAACAAATCCATCTGAACGCCATATGTAAATCGTACCACCCCAACCAATTGTCTCTATTGTAGTAAGAATCCTTAACAATGGAAGGCGAGAAAAGGGAACACAGTCCACCAAAAAGGACATGCATGTTCCAAAATTATACGGACAACGGCTGTCTTTGTGGCTGATTCTATGAAAGAAAGATAGTAGCTATAACTGTTCTATCTCGTAGAGTTGCGCTTAGAGGCACAGCGAAATCAACAGTATCCAGGCATTTTCGCGGCTCTCTTTAACCATGGAAATGTACTCGGAATAGTCTCATTGTTACCGCTACCAGCCCAACCACTCGTCTGAAGTGTGAGACTAGTCTAAAGCCCTTTTCGTCACATCACTAAAAGTTGTCGAGCACATGTAAGACTAAGAGGTTTATACATTTTGTACTTCATTCGTTGTCAGATAGGCTATGTGCTGCTAGATTCTTCCGTTGCCTATTTCCGTACATATTTCAATATGCTTCCTAAATGTTTTGAGAAGTATATACAAACCTATATTTCCGAACGGAACATTAGATAGACAACACGCACGTACAGAGCTTTTGCCATTTCTATCGCTCAGGGCTTTAGCCAGCGCCCGTTTTACCGTCAATTGACGGTAATTTGTCCCGTCTGACGGTAAAAATTTTAGTCCTTACCGTCAACATTGACGGTCAAAAATCGTGGGTAAAGACATGGAAAAACCTAGCGAATTTGAATGAGCCACGGCGCGGCGTCTTTTCCAAACGCACGGCGGCGGGAAACCTGATTTCAAGGACCGTGCCGACGTCTGTTGACTTGGCTCTATTGTTCAATGTTGCTGTCTGTTAAAACAACATGTGCTAACGGCCACATAAGAATAAAATAAAACAATGGCTTGACTCAGACACACGCTGCTATTATAAACTGTACATGACAATACGATAAATAAACATGTGACAACGAACAAAGAAATATCAAACGTTTTTGAATAATATACTGTACTTGAATAATCATACTATCGCAAGAAAACGGAGATTGATCCACACAATGTGGCCTTATTTAATCTAAAACTTCGTCAGACCTCCTTCGCGCGAAGACTTGAGCGGCAGCATAAAGATTTCTGGAGGATCGCTGACACGCGAGTTTTTGCCGGCCACGTAACTCCCTCCGCGGCAAAATACCCTATGCCGTAGCGAAATCACGTCTCAGCGCTTCCCCAAGTCAACTTCATGGCCGCTAAAGTCCGCAAAGGAGCTGTAACTTCCTCATTTCGGTTGAGAAGCGAAGCTGACAAGTAAAATCATGTACATGTCGGCCATTTTGTTTGCTACCCGAAGTCTTCCGAACGCTCTAAATAAGGAAATCGTCGGAGATCTGAGCCACATCGCCCGCTGTCGGTCAGCGCTCGGGGCCGGCTCGGTGGAAATCGGAGGCTGTGACGTCATGAGTAGGTTCATTTGCATGGCCGCGGCTTGAATCGCGGCGGGATTTGAGCGGATCAAAACAAAGGGCATAGCGGATTGTTCATTGCGTGTTGTCTCCTTGTGAGAACTGTAGTTTTTTTTCATTCTGCAAAATTGCAGATTGTGTAGTTTTTTATTCTGCAATCTTGACGGGTATTTAGAACACCGAATGCATTAAGTGTGCGGGAGGGCGTGATGTCGATCACCGGATCGTGAAAGACATTCTTTAAAAGTAATCATTGACGGAATTTTTTTTTTCGCGTTGACGGTATTTTTTTTTTTTCGCGAATTGGGTTGACCTGGGGTTGACGGTAAAAAATTTCGAGCTGGCTAAAGCCCTGCTATCGCTACACTTGTCTACCACCATTTACAGAGTTAAGCCTTTTATACATTTTTTTTGAAGATTTTGGAGATTCGATTCAGATTTCTATGTTATATTATAGAACATACGAATCTGTGGCTTCCACGGAACTTGTAAAATGTACAAGAGAACGTTAAATTCTGATAAAAACACGACCAAAATAATTATAAGGCGACGAACAGCTTATTTAGACCGCAGAAGAGTTGACAAAAAGCTAGGAAAATCTTCGTGTAACATCACAATTTACTACACCGTTTTTACTAGTAGTTCGATCTATTTTCAAATATTCCTGCGGCCCAAGAATATCATAGAATATCAGAATATTGTCGCCCATTTTCTTCCAAATTTCGTTTGTTTTCGCATATGATTTGGTATCAGAAAGCAAAAGTGCGAAGGATGCCCATGTTATATCGTTAATAGTGTTAATAATCGCGATACGAAATTTTTACCTCCTCAAACACACACAAATATGAGATTCAAAACGTTTGTCTTATGCACATTGACGATCAGGGGTTCTATAAGTATGGAATGCACGACGGCCTTCGTCCAAGCTTACAACGTCATAAATGCGAGTAAAAACGTACGAAAAATTGTACAACAAACTAAACTTACATGTTTTTCGTATACACTTGAAAAATTATCTCAATGAAACTCCTGTCACATATTGCTAGAGTGCCATACTAGTACAAATATAGTATCATATAATTTTTCAGCTCAGTTCAGTACAATCGGATATCATAGCAATTTTGACCACTTTAGAATTAAAGTACTAAAGAAAACTGAATTCTAGTACATTTTTAAGACAGTCGATGAAGAGAAAATTACATGATGTTAAGACATAGATAGTCTCTACCAGACTAACTACGCTGGCCTTGTAGGTTTGACTGGCCGCGCAGTTCGGAGGGAAAGAAACTACCTCCCCGCGGCCGGACTCCCTTGGCCAATTTTACTCTATTTTTTTGCCGAATTCTATGATCCGTATTCCCGTAGAAAGGCCTGGTGGAGGCTAAGACATAGAGAAGGATTTTTTATTTTATTTTATTTTATGACAATTTACCACATTTGTGGAAGGATTGACATAACAGGTGACTATCACCTTTTCAAAGATGTCAAACCTGAGACCAGACTGTAATGTTTGAACCACTCACACCGGGAAGGTCCCCTACTCTTTTCGATAAGTGTGGTGGGTTCTTTAACGTGCGTGGGGTGTGGCTCTCCCAAACACGGGACCTCCATTTAACGTCCTATCCGAGGGACGTCCCTAGCCAAAGCTAGGTACTCATTTACACATGAGTGAAGTGAGGAAAGTCGTGTAAAGTACCTTTCCCAAGGGTACAACGTCGCGGCGCATGTTCGGACTTGTTCGGGTACGACCCGGAATCGAACCCGGGTCTCCCCGTTTCATAGTCCAGTGATGTACCACT